TCATTTATACTTACACTACTCTTGCACTCTCACTTTTTCCCCCCCAGCTCTAGCTATTGGGAACTCTTTCAGTTGGCTCCATACCACTTTGGCAAACCCCCATCAATGTGGGTGTTAATTTATTTTGAGCACCTCCCTGCGTTATGACATTACAAGGTATTGCAAGCTCATCTTGACCATTTCCTTCCATCGCTTCTGCGCCTTCTCAGCTGATAGAGCCGGTACCGTGCATGTGTGCTCAGGGGTGTATGCCACCCATCTAGAATACCTCCACATGCACCCATCAGATCCATCTTAACCTGGGTCTATCCAGATGACTCCAACTCCTTCCCCTACCACGCAGGTTCTGCCTGCCTCTCTGTGGTTACCTGTAACCTCCCCTTCAGTGGGGAGACCCTGGCCTCTCACCCTGCAGTGTCCATTACTCGTTTGTTCCGTTCTAGTAGGAGTGGATCCTGCTCTCGGAGTAATGCACCATCACCCTGTAGCACACGACTTAATCTGTTCAATGCAGTGCTTACGTGCAACGCCTTGCCTTTATTCTGACGGACTCCACTCCTTTTCAAATCGGTCACGTTGGTTCCCCTTTCCCCCACCCTCCTGAGTAAGATGGTTTCCTACATTTGCTGCACAGTTAAAATCTTTTGTCGCAGTCCACATTCTATCTCTGACCCTAGAACTGATTTCGTGATGAATTTGATTTTGTGACGTTTCTGACCGCCATATGATTTTTCTGTGACATGCATGCCTTCAGGTTCTCTCTGTGCTATGAAGTGTATTGCTTTGTGTGTTTAGACAAATGTCTAGTGCTGCGTGTCTGTCAATGCAGTCTCACGCAGAGCAGTTTCCCTGTCCTAAATGTCTTCTGCTCCCTCCCTTCCCTCTTCCCTCCCTTCTCCTGCTTTGTGGCTTTGCGGTTTTATCTTTTGCAGAATGACATGTGGTTGGAAGCCTACAGCGTGTAGCCTTTCAGATTGGCTTCTTTTATGCAGTTACATGTTTTTAAGGGTCCTCTGTGTCTTTTCATCAGTTGGTACCTCGCTTTTCAGGGCTGAGTAATATTCCATTGTCTGGCTGCACCTGTGTATTTATTGCTTCATGTACTGAAGGGCATCTCAGTTACTTCTCAGTTTTGGTGAGCATGAAGAGAGCTTCTGTAAACATCCATGTGCAGGTTTTCATGGAATCATACGTTTTCAGGTCAGTTTGGCATACCCAGGAGTGTGGTTTCTGGAAATAGTGAAGTTGTAGGCTTTTCTCGCCTCAGAGGTGGTGACATCCTCTGGAGGTGACATACACCAGGATGAGGCAAAGACCAGCCGGCTTCCTGCTGGCCGCCATGG